GTTACGATGCCTAGAGTACGGAGACCTGTACGATTTCGTCAACTTAGTGAGTTTGATAGGGGCCGTATAGTGGGAGTTCGGGAAGCTGGACTTTCTTTTCGGGCAATTGCAGTTAGAGTGCAAAGAAGTGTAGACACTGTGGTTAGGTGTTGTCAGGCATGGCTTCGAGAAGGCCGTACGCAAAGAGCAAGGAGCACTGGACGCCGCCGTAGAACAACAGACCGTGAAGATCGCCGCCTAAGATTATTGGCCTTAAGGGACCGTTTCTCCACTACCAGGTCCATAGCAAATGAATGGTTTGCAGAACACGGAAGACCTATTGGCATGCGAAGTGTTTACCGACGAATGAGAAGCTTTGGCTTGTTTTCATACCGGCCACACTGGGTCCTCCCTTTAACTCGAGAACACCGACGTAATCGCCTTGAGTGGTGCAGACAACGGTCACTCTGGGATCAGGAAAGGAACAGTATTGTCTTTAGTGACGAGTCTCGATTTTGTTTAGGCATGCACGATGGTCGTGCCAGGATTAGAAGGCGACGTGGTGAAAGGAGGAATCCACAGTTTTTTGTTGAAAGACATGTTCATCACACTGTTGGAGTTATAGTTTGGGGTGCTATAGCTTATGGTTCCAGGTCACCTTTAATCTTCATCAGAGGTAACATGAACGCGCATCGTTATATCCACGAAGTTCTAGAACCCCATCTTTTACCCTATCTTGACACCCTGTCAGATCCAACTTTCCAACAAGATAATGCCCAACCACATGTTGCAAGAGTCACAATAGACTTCTTTCAACTTAATGATGTCACATTGTTACCATGGCCACCAAGATCTCCCGACTTATCCCCAATTGAGCACGTGTGGGATATGATGGGTAGGAGATTGCTCAATTTGCAACGTCCTCCTCAGACTCTAGAAGCACTTCGAGAGGAGTTGGTGGTTGCCTGGAATGAGATACCACAGGAGGACATGGACCACCTGATCAGAAGCATGCCTAGGCGCGTTGGAGAATGCGTAGCACATCAGGGTGCATCCACACATTATTAAAGGTCAAAGGGCTTTAAAGCAGTGCAATCATTTTGAAATTTTTATCATTTACTTATTATGCTTCATTAAGTACTTATACAAAATTTTATTAAAATAAAACCATTTAAACTGGGTGTTCGGCTTTATATGTCACTTAGTATATTTAAGGGGATACAGTGTAATTTGGAGAGATTCCATTAGAGCCTAGAATTGTAAATATTGACTGATGGTTTTTTCTTAAAAATAGAACAAAGTTCGTAAATGCTTAAACCATCTGGAATAAGACACAAAACGTGAAATGCTAAATACTATTATGTCGGGGAATTATTTAAAAAGTTAATTTTTTAAAACTTTCTCCAACAACTCCAGTGTAGTATAGTGTTCGATAACGACGAAAATATAAATTTAACATTGAGAAAATTTAAAGTATTGGGGAGTTTTCAAAAACCCCTGAACAGCTGCGATTTCGAACAAGATCCATTTTTACGTAATTCGTGTGAGGAGATCACGGCTGTTCTGCGTAGATTGGAGATACAGTTAGTAGAACTCAGAAAAGCCTTCTCAGGTCGATTGTTCCATAATCTCGGTACCCTAGGGACAAAGCTCTGGACATACGACACGGAGGTCGAAGTCAGGCGGGTCTGTCTGGCAGGCACATCGTTCGGCGACATCATGGAGGAGAGCTCTAGCGGTAGAAGAGAGCCAGATCGCCGACAGATATGTTCAGTACTCGGAGCTATTAAGTTATCGATGATCCACACTGCGACCAGCCAAAATGAACTGCGTATCTGAAATCTCGACCAAAACCCGTACCTTGGGTAATTCGGTTGCGTAGGTCACGAATCTGATGTATCCAGGTCACATTTTTTAAGTCAACGAAGGAATATTTTGTTCCATTTGTTCTATGTAGATGCTGCCAGGACTTCCGCGTATAAGAAAAAGTCAGGCAAAAAATATCTGTTGACTATATTCCAAATTTTCTTCCATATCTTGAGCATAAACTATAGTTACTGCTCAAAATTCATAAGTCACAAATAATATGGTGCGGAACTAATTAAAACCAAAAGTAGAACAAGTACCGCAATAATACAATAGTATATAATAGAGTGTTTAATATAAAGCTGTTATTATGCTAATTTTATGGCAACATTAGCATAGATACTATTTCCTGATGATGTATATCCATATTTTTTGCTAATAATTCTAAACGGTACATGAAACGTTCAACATTTTTGTGTTTTACTAATTGCAACTATTGTTTGCTAATTATGTCTTACTTTACACACCCTCATAATTATTGTGTATATGCATATAGAGCATATCATAGAAATATGGTAAAAAAATGTTTACCAATTCATTAAAGGGCGAAGAAGAATTAATATGTACGTACTATGGCCTAAAAGACATCAAGCCAACATTTTTCCTTCAATAGCACCCCTTCCAAAAATGATACAGGAATGGAAATTTGAAAAAACAAAAGGCTAAGAAAGACTACATTTTGATTTAGTGGGAGAGGTACATTTAGCCCTGCATTGAGTTTCTATAAAGGAGGTGAGTAATATTGATTCTCATACCATTTTACATTTTATCATTTGCAGTATTTAAGGTGCAACGACGAAGTCATTTTTAAATCTGGGAATAAATCTCGCACCCCTAAGTGACGAATTTTGAGACATATGACTCAAAGGCAAACATTTACCTTTTTTGATGTTTTAAGCTGAACATTTCGACAAATTATAAAATCATCCCCAAAGCAATATAGGTTTAATGTTCCCAAAATAGGCTAATATATGTAGAAACGATAACAATGCATTTTGTGTTAACACAGAACGAATTGAGGTCAGTGATGCTTCAACGCATGTTGTGGCTAAGCTTGCAGCAGCCCAGTTTCCAAAGCCATAGCCGAAGACTACTCGATAATTTTCGCGTATTCTTGGTGGTCCTATTAGTATTCCCGCTTGGAACTAGACCATTATTTTGAAATCTGAACCTGTTTCTTATTTGCTCGTTAAAAATCAATCGGTTATTTATGCACTGTTCGATGGACCACACCATCTAGTTGCCTTGCCACACTGACGTTAAGGGAGAGATACAGTGTCGGATCAGGGTCTGTTTTCAGGAAGGATAAGTTTCGCCAGAGATAAGAAGATGTTTTATTTTCCACGCCACTGGCGAGACAGTATTAAAAGCGCGGAAAAATCCACATCCACATCAGGAAAAACCATTTACGTAGACCTATCAGTCGGTCTGTATGTTTGTCCGCTAATCGTTGGCCCATCTATAGCTTGGAAAGTACTGCTCAGATTTTGATGAAATGATCGGACAAGCTAACCACTATACCAAGGTCGAAAAAGCTTGGAAGCTTTTTAAAAATTGATCATTATCAGAAAAAATCTGTAGCGCTTGAAAGTTGGGGATTGGTGGTTGTAGGAGGTAGGCGGCTGCAAATATTGCATCTTTGGTATCTGTGAGAGACGTTCTATTATTCCATATTAGCTCGCAGACAGCCAGACAGACATGCATGGTTTTTGATGACGTTCACCAATGGCGGGGAAATAGAAGATATACGATGCGCGGGTTTGAATTTTTAACAAACTGCTTTATGATTTGAAGAATCACCGTTTCCAGACTATTGAATAAACACTTCGCTGCATCAAAATAAAAAAAATGGTGTCGAGTAGGTTGACTCCCACCGAACGCCGTTCATCAACGAATATGTTCAGCACAAGTTGGACCCGCTGAAAAACAGGTCCAATTTAATAAGTCTATAGGCATTATTTGTCTGCCCTACTGGTAATACCGTCCATCTGGCAAAGTCGCATCTCTCCGATACCTGACCGCAAGATGCGTCAGACGCGGCAGCGAGGCACAGTTGCGGTAATGCCAGGACGTTCACCAAGACCAGAACACTCGCCGGAGAACCCAGAGAGCGGAATCAGAGACGCGCATCGAAAACGTTTTTCTATCACTCCAAGCCTCCCTTAAAAATCCTCTGAAACGTCAAAAAACGAAGTATGAGTAAAATTTTTTCTGTCGTCACTGAATCGATTTTCCAAAATTTCAAAGTTTTTTCGTTCTTGTATAAAAATTTCATCCAAATCCGGCCAGAACTATCCAAGCAAAAACGTTCCATAGTTCAATAACTTTAGTAATTTTCCCTCAAAAATTGCGTATCGCCGTCCATGAGAGCAGTAGCATGAAAAAAATATGCAAATATGCAAATCGCAATGGACGAAATATATGCTTCTGCAAGCAACACTTTAATTATGAGATCCAATGATCGTAATTTTTTCTCCATGTTTTAAATATGCCAAACCGATCGACCCGAAGGAAACTTAAAATGCAAGGCAATTTTATAATTTATAATTTTGATTCTCACGCAACGATCGTTTTTTCCCACGCCATACTTTAAAAGTTGTACGTCGTACCGAATAAGTCACCGCCTCATCATGAACAAACAAACCAAAAGTAGGTTCTAGAGACGTGAGATCAAAAAAATGTGTTCTACAGAAGCAGTAAGAAGATTGGTGTTGTTTTTATCGATCTTGTGTCATAATTTAGATTTCGTTTGCCATATGCATTATGGCAATCTGTTATTATCGAGATTGTAAAATCATGTAAAATGAGCGAGGGTGTATCTGGGAAGGGGGGTTCTGGAAATCTTGGGAATCATGACCAGATGATTGAATCGAGTTCCACCGGTTGCCGCCAAAAGCCACCTCCCTCCTCGCGCTCTTCAGTTATCATGAAGGCGTTCACCCAAGAACCGAAACGTCGTGACCATGAATCCTACTACCATTACTCCCCCACCGCCTCCAGACAGCCATTGTGTCTAAATGGTCCCCCCTGCAACTCAAAGGGCTCAAACCGCCTCAATCTTTTTCGTTTGCTTTTTTCCGTTCCTCCATGGAGCACCAAACTTTAAGATGCCCAGGGCCCTGAATCTGAAAATACTCTGTTGAAAATCGGTTTACCTTCTACTAATTCCAAGCCAACAGGACTTTGGCAAGTCACTCCACAAGGGTTTAGACAACACTTCTTCAAGCCGTTGCAATGCCTGTCCATCTTGCATTCTTCTATACATGCAGCAGCAAATGGGGAGAATATGCTATTGCTTAGAGGACAACTTCCTGGTTTCAGCGTGTTGCGATTCAGGCATGTCTTCAAGCACTGAAAAAATATATCAAATGAGTATTTGAATGCAGAAATAAGTGTACTTTAAACTGTACTTAAACTGTAATATTTATGACTAATAAATTTAATAAAGTGGAGACTTTTTGCAGATATGTGATGGATACAAACAGGTAAAAAATCACTACACCTGGCAACCATAATCAATTTGTAAGCACATCGACGATGGCGTGAAAATAACAGGATTGCGTGACTCTGGTTGCCTATAAGTTCAGCTCGATCAAATATAATAAAATATGTAGTGAATTTTTCGGCTTGGTAACACTGCATGTCCATTAGTGCACTATTGAAAATTGATCCCCATAAGAAAAAACCTTTTCGCGCGCATCTTAAGGCTGTGAGAATTTGATAAAAATTAGAGAAGAGCGGTTTAATTTGATTGAAAGGAGATGGTAAGTAGTAAGCATCATAGTTATCTTTATCTAGCCGTAAGAGTTAAACATAAAAATATATATTCTACATCATATTTCTCGACACTGTTTATTTGTAACTCATCATGATGGTGTTGTCTTAGTTTAGTCATGTACAGGGTGTTTTCCAAACATGGGACAAGAATTCAATGGGTGAATATTGGGACTAGTCTGCAACTATTTATTGTATTTGATCCTATCGATCTGCGAAACACCTCTTGATTCGGAGGAATAGGTTTTTCTTAATGATTTTTACATATCGTCGCTTAAGTTTTAACAACGCGTGACTCAAGAAATGTCACCATCAAGATATTCATGTCATTTGATAGGGAAACCAAAGATCCACCGTTTGTTTTGCTCTTTTAAAAATTTGTCAGTTTTGAGTTACGCTGCGATAGAACTTATGCGACGATATAATCCACCGAAAACCGTTAACTCATTTAGTTCGTCAAAGATCGACTAGCAAAGTATTGCTCATGTTTTTCCGCCTTTGTATAATAATGACTTAAAAATAATAGTTTTGTAGATTGGAACGTGCCTCGATAGTGTTGACTGTTCCATCTACATCAATGTACCTGCGGTTGTTTCAAGAAATTTATTCATGTTTGATTTCGATGATATCAAACGTTTTTTAAGAAAAATATCCGTGCTTTTTCTGTTATGAGTATTTCCAAATTTTCAGAACGGGGGAAGCAGTATTCGGGATCGGATCCATTATTTATAAAATTTACCAAATAATGCCCCTCCTTTGCCCTAGGAAATTTTGTTTTTCTGAAATGAATTAGATTTGGCAATTTCAATGTATGACATATGATACCTTTTTGAAATCAGAATTAAAAAGTCTATTCATGTGCGCAAAAATTCAATATAGCGTCCATAAGAACAATAAAGTTAATGCTAGAGGACAAATAGCGAAACATCATATTGAAATTCTAATTCTTATACAGAAGAAAACGTGGCAAGTGCAATATATTTTAACATCCCACTACAATCACAGTCAGAAAGGAATTCACATTTTAGTATTTTCTTGTTATTACAATACTTCACCAGTTGATCATATAATAATTAAAAATATTACTGTTACTAGGTCATGATTTATTTCTAGCAGAAAATATGAGGACCCCATGAAGTCGTCGATTCTTGCATACATGATGCCTAGCGGTTAGGTTAAAATGAGCTCATACCAAATTCTGACTTGCAAAAATAAGCTATAATAACATAGAATAAATAACATGTAAATGTTACTCGCGACATATTTATTACTGCATGTGGGTACCGTCCCGTGTACTTATATGTATGCTTTTGTATAATGTCCTTTAACAACCATGGATC